CCTCGTTGGCACACCGCCTCTTGTCCACCCTCCTTCGGAGCTCAACCTCCTCGCTAGCACACTGCCTCGTGTCTACCCCCCTACAAGGCTCAACGTCTTTGCTAGCACAACACCTCGTGTCTACCCCCTTAGGTGTTCAGCCTCCTTGTTGGCACATGCCTCATGTCCACCCCCTTTGGGACTCAGCCTCCTCACTAGCACACTATCTCGTGTTTGCCCCCCTTCAGGGACCAACATCCTTGCTAACGCACCACCTCGTGTCCACCCCTCTATGAGTCTCAGCCTTCATACTAGCACATTAGGCGTTTGGCTCTGACAGCATTTGTAATGGCTCAAGGCCACCGCTAGCATATATTTTTTTTTTTTGGGCTTTCCCTTCCAGGCTTCCCCTCAAGGTTTTAAAACAGCTAGGAATAAGTTTTTATAAAGAATGTTTCGTTCTCCTCCCCAACTGACGTAGGCTCTCACCATTAGAGTTCAAAATTTTAGCTAGATTTTCATCAGTTTGATCCAGAAGTTCATAGATTATAAGCTATAATTGGGTTGTTTGTTAATTTGCAGAACATGATCCCATCAATGATAGAGTGTGCAGAGACAATGGTTGAAGAGTGGAAGCATCATATAGACAAAGAGCTCGATGTTTTCGAGCATTTTAAGGTTTACACATTGGATGTCATTTCCCATACAGCTTTTGGAAGCAGTTATGAACAAGGAAGGAGTTTCTTCCAAATGCTGCAGAGAGTCTGCGAGCTATCAGTTAGGAATGGATATAAAGTTCGTCTCCCGATAATCAGGTACATAATCACCGTCACGTCGTTTCAGGTCAAAACCACGTCGACTTTCCAACTGCTAACAATATATTTGCTTGTCGGGATGCAGTAAGATATTCAAATCGAAAGACGACGTTGAAGGAGAGCGACTCGAAAAGAGAATGAGAGAATGCTTCATAGAGATCATAAGGACAAGAGAAGAGAAGTTGATGAATGGGGAAGCAGAAGGGTATGGGAATGACTTCTTGGGATTGCTGGTGAAGGCGAAGAACGAGCCTGAAAAAGCACAGAGGTTGTCTGTGGATGATATTGTGGATGAATGTAAGACGTTTTACTTTGCTGGGCATGAGACCACCAATGCGTTGCTGGCTTGGACTATGTTTCTGTTGGCGTTGCATAGGGAATGGCAAGAGGAAGCAAGGAAGGAAGTCTTCAAGGTTCTTGGTGACAAGAATCCAACAATGGAAAGTCTCCCCAAATTAAGAACGGTAAGAACATTAACATCACTCCACAAAAGAGTGCTCTTCCTCCTACGTTCTTGTGATGAGATCCCAGATTGGTTGGAGAGTAGAACGAAATATTCCTTATAAGGATGTAGAAACTTCTCCCTAAAAGACGCATTTTAAAACTGAGGGTGATGGTGATACTTAATGAGTCAAAGCGGACAATATCTGCTAGCAGTGGGCTTGGGATGTTACAAATAATATCAGAGCTAGACACCGAGCGGTGTGCTAGCGAGGATGCTGGTCCCTCAAGGGGGGTGGATTGTGAGATCCCGCATCGGTTGAGGAGGAAAATGAAACATTTCTTTTAAGGGTGTGAAAACCTTTCCCTAGAAAACATGTTTTAAAACAGTGAGACTAATGTCGATAAATAACGGGTCAAGGCGGACAATATCTGCTAGTGGTGGGATTAAGTTGTTACAAATGGTATCAGAGGTAGACACCGAGCGGTGTGCCAGCGAGGATGCTGACCTCCTAAAGAGGATGGATTATGAAATCTCATATCGGTTGGAGAGGAGAAGAAAACATTTTTTATAAGGGTATGGAAACCTCTCCCTATAAGACGCGTTTTAAAACCGTGAGGTTGACAACTATACATAATGGGTCCTATTACAATTCTTGACTAAAGTAGTACTTTTTCTTGTTTTGTTTTACTATGCAGATGAATATGATCATCAATGAATGCCTGAGGCTGTATCCTCCAGCAATGACATTATCACGCCAAGTGCAGAAGGAAACCAGACTGGGGAGCTTGGTGCTTCCGAGTCGAATTCGGGTGCTGATACCGACGCTTGCAGTCCAACACAACACCGAGTTATGGGGAGAAGATGCAGATGTTTTCAAACCAGAAAGATTTGCAGAAGGGGTCGGGAAAGCCACCGAAACGAACTCGGGTGCATATCTCCCCTTCGGGTTGGGGCCTAGAAGCTGCGTCGGGATGAACTTTGCATTGAACGAAGCCAAAATAGCATTGTCCATAATTCTACAACGATTTTCCTTCACCCTTTCACCTTCCTACTCTCACTCCCCTATTCAGTTTCTTACTATTAATCCCCAGCATGGAGTTCAGCTCATTCTCCATCCAGTTTAACATCTCAACGTGATATGAACCAAGACATCTCAATTATATAATATTAATGTCACGTTAAGAAGAATCAAGCTTAGTTTATACAACAAAGTCATCAAAATACTATGAATAGAATTTCATTTATTCTTAGATGATTATAAATTAAATAGGGATGATAATTTAGAGTTATGATATTTTATTGATGTATTTTAAGAGTTTTATTTACTTTTAAATTATATTTACATATTAATGGTTAATTATAATTCTAAATAATACACAATTGCTAATTATGGTCATAAAGTATGAAAGTTATGTTCATAGAAGGTTAATGGTTTTTATTTCGAGACTATAAAATTATGTATGTTATCTTGGTAAGGTAGACTTGAAAAATGCACTAAAATGAGCACTTTTGTTTTTGTTTAACCAATGGCTAAGTTTCTTGTAATTCCATGTCGTTTAAATTGAATGTTTAGAGTCATTCAAGCTTGACATGATTAACCTTGCTTGTGGAGTGATTCAAATCTCAATCATGTATTCTTGCCTTGAGATATTTGATCTGTTAAGATCGCAAAACAACGCACACACTCGATCTAGATGAACACAAAAAACAGGATAGAGAAAATGTAAGGAGAACTCTAGTTAAAGGATTTATATTGATGACTCCAAGTATGTAGAGTAAGAGAGAATATAGAGAATACAGAAAGTATATTTTTAAAGCTATATATATATATATATATAGTTTAGCTTACTATATATAGATTTACCAGACTATCTACCATGGCTTTACCAGATATAGTTTTTTACTGTACATAACAATTTACTATTTATGACATTTTACTCATTTACCAAATATAGTTTTACTATGTATAACTGTTGACTAAGCAGTAGGCTGCTCATGGCACCATACCAATTGAGGCTTTGTACAACCTGAATATTCCAACATCAACACATTTTGTCAACATGTTTGTTGGATTCTTTGCACCCTCTATCTTCTCCAAACACATCACCATCTTTCACAACCTGCAAGTTAAATGGTATCGTCTTCTGTGTTTTGTCTTTAAATGATAGACCGGGTTCCTCACCAACTGTATGACACACTGACTATCTCTATAAAGAATCTCTTCGTGCTGCTTCTTGCCCAATTCTTCCAGATAGTCAATCATCGATATCGTCTTCTTTCCAGCTTCAGTTATTGTCATGTACTTAGCCTTAGTACAATGCATTTTTGAAGCCTAGACGTTTCATCATCCATGGCTTGCTCCCTCTTGGTTGTATCTCCAACTGTAGGGCCTCATCAAAGGTCTCTAGTTCCCTTTCATCAGCAACAGATAGTGTAATGAAGGTACATACATATCTGGTACTCTGATAGTACTGGATGATCTTCTCAACACCAGTTCAGGTGTCACTTACTCTACTGCTGGTTGCTCTGCAACAACCTCAGGAGTTTGTTGAGTATCTGCTACAAGATCACTAGGTGATTTTCTCCGCAACTCAACCTCAACTCCCACTTGCTTCGTTGTCTTGGAACCTTGCTCCACATCTGGTTCCTCAACAGTAGTCTCAGGAGTTTCATGAGTATCTGAAACAACATCACTATGTGAGTTTCCTTGCAACTCAAGCTCAACTCCCACTTGCTTCGTGGTCTTGGAATCTTGCTCCACCTCTGGTTCCTCAGCAATAGTCTCAGGAGTTTCATGAGTATCTACTACAACATCACTATGTGAGTTTTCCTGCAACTCAAGCTCAACTCTCACTTGCTTCGTTGTCTTCAAACCTTGCTCCACATCTGGTTCCATTTCCAACTGCACTTTCTTCAATTCTCTGACAGTCCTTGTGAAGCTAACTCATTTCTGCTTGCTCATAACGTAGTTCTCACAACGACCCACATCAACAGATTTCAGACCTTCTAAAACTCCTTTCGCAGCCAGCCTCTTCATTCCTTTCACGCTCATATGTTCAAGTCTACTGTGCCATAGACTTGAATTTGAAGCACTCACAGCAACAGCAGCTACGTTCATACACCCTGCAGTGGTGTATAAGGTTCCAGATTTTAAGCCACATACTACCACCGTAGCACCCTTCATAATCTTCCACGAACTCTTCCTAACTTTGTTGCATAACCTGTGCTGTCCAACTGACCAATAGAGATCAGGTTCTTCTTGAGGCCAGGAATATATCTGACATCCTTTAATGTCCACTGATTTCCTGTCGGAGTTTTTATGTAGACATCTCCTTTTCCTTTAATCTCCAAATCTTTGTTGTCGACAAGATACACCTTCTCAAAATTTCTAGACTTAAAATTCCGGAACAACTCTTTATTTGGAGATGAATGAAAAGATGCACCTGAATCCAAAATCCAGGATTCAATCGAACTATCCACACTGAGGATTAGAGCATCCCCAATGTCTTCTGCTGAATTTATAGAATCACCATCATCTCCAGATTTGTGATTCTGCTTCCTCTTCGATCTTGTACAATTTGTCCGAAAGTGACCTTTTCCTCCACAATTCCAACACGTTACGTTTAGTCTATTTGAAGATTTTTCTCGGTTCCTTGATTTTTATCGCCCTTTGTTTGGGTCCTTCGGTTTACTTCTTCCCCATTGGTCAACACTGAGAGCATTACTAGATGAATTTCCAATTTCTCATTTGTGAATACTTTCGCTGAGAACTACATCTCGAATTTCATCAAACTCCAATTTATTAGATCCTCAGGAACTGCTGATTGAAGCAACAACAGTTCCCACGACTCGGGTAAAGATGACATCAAAATCAACGCTTTAATTTCATCCTCGAAATTAATTTCCACCGAACTCAGTTGACTTACGATCATATTGAATCCGTTTATATGATCAACAACAGATCCACCTTCAGATATCTGTAGATTGGACAATCTTCGCATCAAATACACCTTGTTCATAGCCAACGGTTTTTCGTACATATTCGACTGCGCATTCATCAGATCGGACGTTGTCTTCTCATTGATGATGACTCCACCTTCAGATATCTGTAAACGCCACATTTCTGGATAGCATCAGCCGGATCAGCCCTAAGGCTTGTCAAACCTTGAGCTTCCACTGCTCCGTGGTCATGGTATCCGGCATCACCTCCAACAGGGGTTCGTGAAAACCTTTCTGATACAGATAATCTTCTATCTGCATTTTCCAGAAACCAAAATCGGATCCATCGAACTTCTCAATTCCAATCTTTGAACTTTCCATCTTCACAGATCGTGGTGATTTCCGCCTAGCTCTAATGCCAGTTGTTAGGATTGCACAACAACGCACACACTCGATGTAGATGAACACAAAAAACAGGATAGAAAATGCAAGGAGAACTCTGGCTAAAAGGATTTATATTGATGACTTTGCACATGTACAATAGAGAATACAGAGTACATTTTCAAAACTGTGTGAGGGGATATATATATATGGTTTTGCTTACTATATATATAGTTTTACTAGATATAACCATCTACTATATATAACTATTTACCATATATAGTTTTACCAGAAATAGCTTTTTATAATCCTCTACTATATATAACTATTTACCATATATAGCTTCACCTAAGTTTTTACTATTTACTAATGACTATTTTATTTACCAAATATAGCTTTAGTATAACCGTTGACTAAGCTATAAATAAGCAGTAGACTCCATATTCTAACACCGTATCCTATTTCAATCCACATATTCGTTCTAGAGAGGTCCCGTGTCCTACTTCAATCCATATATTTGTTCTAGAGGTCTCGTGTCTTATTTCAATCTGTATATTCGTTCTAGGGAGGTCTCATGTCCTATTTCAAGCCATCAAAAAAAAAAAAAAGTCAACTTTGTATCTCTTCCCCAAGACTTGTTTGTTCTATATAGAGTGCCTCGAGGTTCCTCGAATGCCAACTGTAGATCGGCATGCCCTCAACTAGGACGTTGTAGGACACTAACTACTCGCTCGTATGAATGATGAGATTTCATCGATATAGAGTCAATTCCAATAGAGTACTAACACATATGCAAGCTTTTTGTCTACTCTATTCGGTTTCTTGATTCCAAAACGAACTCCACCACATCTTTCTCACGTCGTTTCCCCTTAAAACTATCTTCCCCCACTAAATCCTTCTTGATAGGATTGTTTGTCTGATAGTCCTAAAATACTTCTATATTTTAAAATTAAAAATGAAATAAATATTTAGGTAATTATAAATAAGAGTGATTTGGGCAATGAGGTTTCAATGATTTGTCCTATTCATAAATAAGTCTACAATCAATAGCTTGATTCCCAAGTTATGCTTTTGGTTTTATGATCAATAATTACTAAATATTCAAATTTTTTTGTTTGTAGTTATTAGTAAACTAATGCTGCACGGACAGGCTATGCTGTTTTAAGGAGCACAAAACAGAGCAGCAACTCAAAGAAACGCAACAATGGAGGATGTTATGAGCAATACGATCTCTGTGCTCTTAATTGCAAGTGTTGCTCTTGGGATCTTCAAGCTTCTTGACAAGCTATGGTGGACTCCGATCAAGATCCAACGGTTCATGAGGTCGCAAGGGATTCAGGGGCCTTCTTATCACTTCATCCAAGGCAACACCAGAGAGATGTACTCCAAAAGAATGACTGCCATGGCCTCCCCCATCGACCTTTCGCATCGGATTCTCCCCCGGGTTCTTCCTCATACGCACTCGTGGCTCAACGATTACGGTATCGAACCTTGGTTTTCTTCGGTTTTAAACATGTTTGAGAATGATTTTGAATACGGATAAACTTGTGCAAACAGGGAGGAACTTTGTTCAGTGGTATGGAACAGATGCTCATCTGGTCATTACAGAGCCTGAGATGATCAAGGAGGTGCTCAATGATCGACAGAAGAACTTCCCCAAAGCAAAACTCCAAGGCCATGTTCATAGAATTTTTGGAAATGGACTTGTCACTGCCCAGGGTGATAGATGGGTCAAGTCTCGAAAACTTGCTCATTTTGCTTTCCATGGTGACAATCTTAAGGTAAGTAAGTTGTTTTTTTTTTTTTTGGTAGAGTAGATATTATTCCTTTTGGGCTTTTTCCTTCTGAATTTTTACTCAAAGTTTTAAAACGCATGTTTGATAGGGAGAGACTTTCACACCATTACAATCAATGTTTCTTTAAAGAAT